TATAATAAATACCTTAAGAAATAATTACTCAATTCAATCCATTTACCATTCTTTTTTCCTTAATCATTATACTTTCCACCACCACTAAAAATTATCAAAAATTAATACATGATATTATTTTTTAAAATAAATTTCCATATTCCCCTTTTTTAATTATTGACATATTCTCCAATTTCATAAATTGGAGCATAGCTTATATTTTATTATTAAATTTTACTTAGAATAATTATGTCTTAATTCTTTCCAAAGACCCTGCTTTGATCCATCGTCTAAGTAAAATCCACCTACTCCATATTGTTTTTCTCCATTCCAAAAAGCTGTCCACATGCCAACTTTTTTGTTATCTTTACCATATTTTCCAATCCATTCTAAATTTCTTATTTAATCTAAATTCTTTAAGATTTCTATAGTGCTTGAACAACCATAAATTTAATCTCTATTTTTTCAATCTTTTATTTACATCCGAATGATTTATCCATCTTTTAGGTATAACAACTACTTTGTTTTTGTCTAAGCGACTAAAAATTTAGTCTTCACCCATTAACAATAGCACTAATCTCTTCTTGGGTACTCAATTTCTTTTAGGGTATTTACAAAAACTTCATCAATATCCTAATATTAATGATGACTTTAATCATCATAGAAATGGTTTACCTAAAATTTTTTTTTATTTGTTATTTTATGTTTTAGCTATTGGAGCAAATGATTCCCATTGGATATTTATAAATTAAAAATAACTTTTCATTAAATATAATTGAAAGTAATTTGTAAAAGAAATATTTGATTAAGAAAACTTTATGTTTTTAAATTGAAAATCACTGTAAAACAACATTCTATTCTTTAGACTGAAAAATTATTTTCTTCGTATTAATGTTTCTAATCTATTTGACCTTTTTCTAGATATTAATAGGAAAATAATTCTATGAAGATTTTTGGATGGCTTATTATTTAATATGAGTAGGCTAATTACTTAATTACAACAAGTATCATGCTGAATTATAATAAATTTTTGATTATGAAAGTTTAATTTAAAACTTAAAATGATTTATTATATGAAAAATACAATTTTGTTTAAATTCATTTTCATTCCCAAAATGTAGTGAAAATTAACTTTTATATTAAAATTGAAAAAACTTAGACAGTATTTAAAGAAATCATTCAGTTATAAGAGTTTGAAGTTAAAATTATTTCGATGTTTTTTTGATGCCGCTGATGATAATTCATCATTTTAGGTTATTTATAGTAGTAATAAAGCCTCAGAAATCGTTTAGCAATCTATAGAGGAGATTAGAAAATAGATGATTTAATTTAAAACAGGGCTAGAATATGTCGAAGTGATTTGGGCCAATTTGAATTCTATACAGTTGTAAGTATTCGTAAGATTAAAAATATATTCTATAAAATAGAAAGTTCTAGCACCAATAAATATAAAATAAAAATTTGTTTCAATTCTAAAATTAATGATATGGAAATAGGGATAAGAAATTTATTGATATTTATTTATACTTGCTATCCAACTTGTTTATCTTGTAATGATCCTTCAGAGATTTAATGTTTATTGTTTCAACAATTTGAGTGTATAAGGAGATAAATTTATTTGTATTTCTAATTAATAATTTTCAGAAACATATAGGTTTTCGATAAGAATACAGTAGAGAATATTCAATTGCTCGTTATGATTTAATATGTGTGAATGATAAAAGAATAAATAAAGTTTACTTTATTCGGAGATGACAGCAACACTTAATCAAATCATAGATATTGTTCTTTAATATTTGAATAAGACGAATTTCATCCAAAAAAAAAACGGATTTATTTAATGAAAATTGTAGTGGAATTAGCATTATAGGAAAGTTTTAATTTTATTAAGGAATGCTATACAAACTAAGTCTTGAAAATGCTATAAAATGTGTAAGAATTAGAATAACATTTTATTTACTTAATTTCTAATATACAAGCAAATTGAAATCTTATGCAATAATCAAATATAATCTAGAATAATAAAGTAGTCATCACCATTCTAAATTGAAAATTTATTGATAATTTTTGAAAAGAATGAAACTTGTAATGGTAATACTGTGTTAAGATTAGAAGTGACTTTTTAACTTATTGAGTCCAATCCAATTCTTCAAACTAAAGGATAATTTTAATATCAAAATAAATCTTGAGGATTTAGTAATGTTAATGTAGACACAAGATTTTTTTAAGAAAATTGTTTAATATATTAAGATATTTCAGCATGTTCACTATGTGATTCAGGATATCAATTATATTAAACTAAATGTGTTTAATCTTGCTCTATTTAATTCAAAATTTTGTATTGACTATGAAGATATCTTTCCATGATAATTATAATTTTTTTATTTCAAGATTCAAGATATTTAGCAATTAAATCGTTTTATGATAACAAAATAGATCCATCATTTGTTTTATCAACAGAATAACAATTTTCTTAATTTTAGTAATAAAATTGTTTTAAGTGTCTTATTGTTTTGGGATGATTTATCATATAGCGAAACATGGATTACTTAGCATCCTCATTATGCTGCATCGATATATTTTAATTAACTTATGTTGATTTATGTTTTATCATGCCTTTATCACTTTTTCGGTTGTCAACGTGCTCTGATGGCCTGCTCTTCTAAGTTAAAGGTTCTTGACTGACATCAGATCTATATCAACTTTATAAACCTGGAGAACTAAAAGTTATTATTATTTTTGATTAAAGATTCTTAAGTTGGATATTAACACAACATATTTAACTATTTAGAAATATATTAATTACTCTTTGGAAAGAACATTTATTACAGGTTGAACTGATGCATATCTATTTGCTTGAAGCTTTTGATCTGTTGAGTAAAAATAGTATTAAAATATTTAAATATGTTATCACATAAAAAAATCCTCTTCTGTAAAGTTGTCTAGAGATTCTTGTATAATAGTGGGTTCATACTTGAAAATGAAAAGAGGCAATCTTATTATCCAAAACCGAGGAAGTAGCTCTCAGAAATCAGGTAATCGATAAATTATGATACTACTCATTCTTCCTCTCAAAAATCAATAAGCTGGAATACTAAGTCTATGCCATCGAAGAAATTCTAAATTATTATGTAATTTAACATAGCCCTCTTGATAAATAATTTTTGATATTCTAGAAAAATTTTGAACTTTCATAAAATGGAGGATATGTAATCCTTTAACCATTCTTGTGTGACCAGAATGCTGGTTTGTGAAAGAAAATAATATTTGGAACCTTAGACTCTCTGATTGAGAAAGTGTACCTTTAGAGTTTATAACTATTCTTAATAAATATTCCCTTAACATCCATTATAAAACAAGAATTTATACAATTACTCTAGAAGTTTTAAGATCTGATCACAGATATTATCAATAGAAATCCTAATCATGATCCCAATCACTTAAATGAACACCGTGAAATTGAAAGTGCCAATTAATATTTAGAAATTTGTATTGAACAGATCCATTACAGAGGTATAAGAAAACTCAAACCTAACTTTTTTCAAAATAATCTATATAGGTTAATAAAGTAATCTAATATTCAGAAGCTTATAAACTTTTAAAAAGAATGAACTGTGTTTAGACAGAATCAAGAATTATTAAAGATTATCAGTAAATACTTCAATTATGTTTAGAAAAACTTGTGACAATACAGCATTATCAGTACATAAAACTTAATCACCTTAAAATTTCTTTATAAGATTTTTATAGGAAGAAATAAAATAATTATGATTATATTTTCTCAATGAGACTAGTCCCATTAAATAAAAACTCATCCTCATTTACTAACTATTCATGAATTCAGACCTATTATAGACTGAAGGATATTTGAAGATTTATAACTTCACAATCCATCATTGTATAAATAGTATAATTAATTAGATCAATATATTGAAGAAAAGATGGAGAGAGAAGATGTTAATATTGATGAAAAATGCTAAATTATCTTTGTTCACAATTTAATTAATTAATTGAAAATTATTAAGGAAAATTTATCACTATGGAATTCCTTATGAAGTGAAAGAATGGGTGTATTAATTTGAATTATGTTTTAATAATAACCAAAATTATTACTGATAAGATCATTAAATTTCCAATATAAGTAAAATATTATAATTTTCTACATTATTAAAATTTGTTGATTTTGCCTTCATATTGTAATATTCAATTTAAAATTGAAAAAACACAAAATTTTCAGTGAAATTTAAATCTTTCCTAATGCATAACTAATCAGAAAATTGACAAATATTGCTCTAAAGTGTTAATAAACATCCTGTAATCCTTAAGAAGATAGAATTTTTATTATTGCAAAAATATCAAATAATAAATCAACTTCATATGAAGCTCAAAATTTTTTTAATAAAATTGCTTATTTTTTCTAAGTCTTGTAGTTCAACTGATTACAATAAAAACAAAATGAGAACAAAGGGCAGAATTGGAATGAATCAGAAAAATGAGAGACACCAAGTATAAAGAAGAATTCAATAAGTAAACATGCCTATTGATAATAAATAAATAAATGTTTACAGATATTATTATTTCATTAGTGTGAAAATTAATATAATCATTATCATGACTTAAAGTAATCTTTGAGAAATATTAATTGATGTAAGCTAATCTTTGACAGTTTATGAACTATTTCAACTATTTATATAATTAAAATAATTGTAACTTGAAAGTCGAATATTGGTATTCAGTTTGAGGTAGTAAAAAATAGAATAATAGTATAATTTGAGGTTGAAAAAGTGTTACAAAAGTTGAATTTAAAATAAATTATTTTAAAATGTGTAAAATTTATTTTAATATAAAACATATATATGTGAAATCACTACTAAATATCATTGATTTCCTTTTTTTTATTTTTAGTTTGATCTATAGGTTTCTTATCGAATAAATCTAATATTATTATTATTATTATAAATCATTATTCCAATTATTCTCATTATATAAAGAAATGAAGTGTATAAATGACTTAAATGGAAAAAAAACTTTGTAATATAAGAACTTACTTAGCTTTAGAAGTGAAGATTAAGAGTGAAACTA